ACAGGTTAGGTTCTGCTGTCCACCATGACTTCAAGTGAATATTTGTCTCTGGAGGAAAATCAGAAACAATAAATAACTTCAAACTCATATTCAAGGCCAGACCAGCATTCTATGCACCCTCACTTCCAGTCATACCCATATCCACATATCCTTATTCATGGCTTTCTCAAATGATGGAGCTATTCAAGTGACAATATGATATTGAAATCTGCACAACATTTTCTTTCAGGGAAAAAATTGAAAATATAAGACATAGTTCCTATGGATGCCTTCTAACACAAAATCACCTTCAAGTCCACTTTATCCTTAGGAAGGGCATGGCTTTCAGGAGAAGAGGTCACGATGCTGGCCTGGGTCTACAGATCAGTGGTAGAGTGTTTGCTTGCCCAGTGTTTACAAGGCCCTGGGTTCAATTCCCATTTCTGCAGTTAGATAGTTAGATAGTTAGACAGATAGATAGGTAGGTAGACATACTAAATGGATAGAAGGATGGATGGATGGATGGATGGATGGATGGATGGAAAGAAGGAAGGAAGGAAGGAAGGAAGGAAGGAAGGAAGGAAGGAAGGAAGGAAGGAAGGAGAGCATTTCTGAAAAAAGCCACCTTTTACTTTACCTACAGGGCTCCCCACTGGATCAATCCATAAAAGCCCATTATAAAGCAACACAAAAGGGCCATGCTGTGTCATACAATCGTATAGCTATAGCCATGTCCTCCTGCTCAAGAAATTTTTAAAGCTTGCACTAGGGGTGAATGACAATAGCATTCTTCCTTTGCTATCTGGAAAAATCTCCCCAAAACCCAAGTGTTCAGGAAATGACAAGAATTCCAAATAATCTATACCACATCCCGAGAACCTCAGGCCAACCTCTCAGATGCTCATGCAGCAGCAGCATCCAGCAGGACTTTCCACCTGGAAGGAGCCAGAAGCTTCTGGAACCAGACTCTTTGCATTTGCGTCCTGGCTCAGCCACTTTCCCAGTGAGCAGCTGGGCAGAATCCCCTGTACTGCTCCCTGCCTTCATTTTCTCACATTCAAATTTAAGTGCTCATGGCTGTGTCTCACTCTACTGATGCCTGAGAAATAATACTTTTTTTAGCACAATGTCTGGCACAACATGAACGCTCAGCACTGTCAGGAACACAAATTATTGCTCAGCTGGTTGAGTATCCCTCATTCAACACACTGAAAGAGAAGTTTTTCAGATATAGGATCTTTCAGATCTTTGAATATTTATAAATACAGCATGAGGTATCATGGGAACACACCCAAGTCTAAACATACCCATTTACTTTTCATTTATACCTAGTCTCTGGGTTGCTTTATACAATATTTTAACAATATTGTACATGAAACAAAGTCCCACACCAATGGAATTTTCTATTTGTAGTATTGTTTTGATTGTGGAGCACTTTGGCTTTCAGATTAGAGATACTCAGCCTGCAGTACAATAACAGCATATTAGCATTACTATTACTTCTTTCCCTTGAGGATCCCAGGCCACACACATTCTCCTAAGTGTTGGTTGGTTGGTTGGTTTGTTTGTTTGTTTATTTGAGACAGGGCTTCAGTGTGCAATTCAGTCTGGCGTTGCTCTCACTTTGTAGTCCAGGCTGGCCTAGAACTCACAGCAATCATCATGCCTCAGCTTCCTATCCCTTAATCTTTAAAAATGCAATAGTTCCTAAACTTTTGAATGTATCACAATTATCTGGGGTGCTTAAAACAGATTTTTGTGCTTCAGATTCAGAGCTGCTGGGGGCACGGGTGTGTCTAACAAGCTAATCTCAGTGTAGGAGCTGCTCCGTGGAAGGACAGAGTAGAAACACTTAGGGTCACCAGTGGAGAACAGATTTAGCTCCAAATCTACAAGGCTTTCTGTGGTCTGCTGGCCACCTAGAATCCCTTTTGCAGATGGCATTGAAGAAACTTCACCAAGGGTCCCAAACTTTCTCAACTATAAGAAACTCCAGAAGGCTCCATAGCACCTCCATACACATACCCAAAACAACACACAGTGGGCAGTAAAATCAGTTCCAGGAGATCAGAAGTTCCTAGATGTTTACTTCATCCATGAGACATGGAAAGAGCTTCAGTAAGCAGTGACTGACAGAAAAAACTTCGGGAGAACTAAGGGCCCAAGATAAGCCCCGGGAGCCAGCTCATCTAGAAGCTACAGGTTAGAATCTAGCTGCTCAATGGACACATGCACCGAGAATCTTCGGTGACCTTGGTACCTTGGCCTTTCCATCTGGCAAGGGCTTTTCCCTCAACAAATCCCTTGCCTCCAGCCACACTTTACCTCTCACTCTTTGAAGACAAGGAAGCATCGTTTTAAGCTTCTCACCAGCAAGAACGCCCGTGGGTACCACAGGCTGCAGGGAGAGCTAAGTACTCTCAGGAGAGGGGAAGCCAGGCTGCAAACAGGAAGCATGTCTATATAAACAGTGCTGGTAAATTGCCCAATCAGATTGCCAGTTAAAAATGGGAGAAATTTCTAGCAAGCTGTCTCCTTTTTTCTTCAAAATAAATATGCAATGTTATGCCAAATTTTGTATTAATTTTCTTAAATAAGGTCTCCGAACTGTTACCTTTGAGGATTTACAAAATGTGGAACTGCTTCTGCTCCTTGGACCTTTGCATTTCCTGAAAGTTTCCAAATTGATTACCCACTTACTCCCCAACAGGACACCTCAGGCAAGTCAAATACACTTTTATAAACACCTACAGAGGATTTTGCATACTTTTCAGCAGGAATTTGAGATGTCGTTTGGCTTTACTGCCAAACAGAGATAAAGAAAAAAGTTCAAGCAAGTCTGGCATGATCCAGGCAGAATATCCTATTTGATCCTCTTCACTCAGCAAAAGCTTTATCTCAACAGTTAACTGGCAACATCTTAAAGTATCTTCAGTATGGACCCATCAAGTGTTGTGTATAATTGCCAACAATTACAGAGATTTAGGGAACCCTGGGTTCTCCATAACAGAAAATAACACTGTATTTTGAATTCTCAAGTACCTTCTGAAACTCCCATTCTGTACAGTATAAGTTTGAGGACCACTTTTGTAATTTCCATGCACTTCCTAAGTTGTCATCTGAGGTGATATGGATCATTCGCTCAAAAGTTAAATTTGGGGCCAGGAAGATAGCTCAGTAGAATAAGCACTTGCCTGACAAGTGCAAGGTCCTGAGTTCAATTCCTGGTACCGAAAAAAAAAAAAAAAAAAAAGTTAAATTTGGAATTTGGGGGGATGCCTTGCTAAATCTGCCCATGAGAGTAACTTATAGTTGCAGAGATAGGCTTAAGGAAAAAAATGGATTTTGCCTTTTAAACTAAATGTTAGATACATTCAGGCAAGAGTATAGGTTTTTACACAAAGTGCTTTCTAAGTAGCAAGGGTAGCCTCCATTCAGCTCACAGTCAGGGAAATGAAGCTCAGTTATGTTAAAAATAAGTGAATCCCATGAAAATTCGCTCTTCCTTCTATGTGTATCACAGAAAGAACGTACATAGCTTTACTAATTGGCCCCATTTGGATGTGTTACACCCTTAGAAATATGCTAAGGAAGACACATGATAAACTTAACCTTTAAAAAAATACATATCCATCTGTGTCCCTGATAGGTCACAGCTGAATCACACAAGAACAATGAAAACAGTGCTCCTCTGATTCAAGACAGACTACTTCAACCCCCAGGAGGTAGATTTTGTGCCTATAAATTTGAATTCTAATTTCCAGTAATCCTGCCAGATTTAGCTGTCTGCATGGCAGTGCAAACTATCAGATATACCCACAGTCAGGACCTCAGTCAGCCACTTCCACTGTACAGATCACTGGGTTGCTCCGTGCCTTGGTTTCCCATAACATCCACTTCGGGGATTTTATTCGGCAAGACAAAAGTGCCTAGTCATCGATTCTTTTCTCTTCTTTTTCTGCAGTACTGGGATGGAACTCAGGCCCTTGCGCATGCTAGGGGAACACGCTCCTACTGAACTCCACAGACAGCCCCACAGCCGAATTCTAATGACTTCAAGGATGGTTTTGATAATTGTCATTGTGAACCAGGCTAATAACAGACGCTTAAAAGATTTGCCAGTCCTTGCATTCAGGTATCAGAGATTAAAGCAGTGCCTGGACTCAGGCTAACTCCCTCGGGTGAGGAATAAGAACCCTAAAGCTCCCCTTTATATCAGCCCCTGTGCTACCAGAACCCGAGGCAGCTGGCTTTTGCAGAAGCTTGATCTTCCAAGCAATACAGCAAACATTTGTTAATTAAAATGCTGCTGAGCCTATCTCCCCACAAAGTAGTTTATAGAAGGCATGGACCATAGAGATCCCTCAATAAAGAGTGGTGAAATTCTGTATGTGTGTGAAACTAGTAGAGAAAGCACCTGGGTTCACTGAGCTGTTCGGCACCTGGGTCCCCATCCCAAGGAGACTTCAGAGTGCAGGCGTGTAGGTATCCAGTGCAAGACCTGGAGGAAGGTGTTCTATGCAAATCCAATCATTTGAAAGGCATCACAACACAAGTGGAACGTGGTGGCGAGACTCTAACCCAAAAGCCTACTCTGTCAGACTTTCTGCCATCCTGTGATTAAGCAAATGCACTCCAGCAGCCAGAGCTGAACCTCCTACCCCCGGGAAGAAGACGCATCAAAGTCTCCCCAGGCGAGGGACCGACCTCTGCAGGCAGCGTCCAGGCGGTGGCAGAGAGGTGACTAACTGCAGCGCGCCCTGGGAGGTCTGAACGTGTGGCCTTGAAAATGCCAAGAAAGCCCAGAGCTAGCTGCCTCTCCAGCGCGCTCCTCCGCGCTCCACACCCTCAATTTCTGCCTCTGGTCCTCTAGACACCCCTCTGACCCCGGAGAGGTAGCCACAGGACAGTGAGTCCCCCGAATTCCCACCCAGGCGCGCCCCACTGGGATGGACAGCTGACACCCACCCCGGAGAGCGCCGGAGCCGGCCCTCGGCCAGGTGAACCGGCGCCACCCTCACCTGTGCCAGGCCGCGACCCGGGGGCTGCAGAGCCGGGCGGGCGCTCGCCCCTCGCCTGCGCGGGACCTGCCCTCGCTCTCCGCTGCTTGCTGTCTTCGCTGCCCGGGAGGAGCGCAGGGAGCAGCCAGATGCGGCGGGGCGGGGGCATCACCGAGGCCCGGACTTCCTCGCCGGCCACGGGAGCCCCGCCTTCGGGGGGAGGAGGCGGCGCGTCACCTTCCAGCTCCCCAGGCGGCGCGGGCGCAGCCCCGCCAGGTGTTAGCAGCAGGCGCGCGCTTCGGCGCAGGGCGCTGAATCACTCTCCCGCCTTGGCCCACAGGAAGAGGAAGGTGTTTCCCAAAAGTCCCAAGTGATGAAAGAGGACGAGAATGGTTTGCAAACTTCTCGCCCTGCCTTCATAACCCGTCCTCACTGACAGCCTCAACTTGCCCCAGTTGCTCGGTAGAAGATCAGGAGGAGGCGGGGAGCAGGCTCGCGCTCTACCGCGGCAGCCTGGGAAGAAGCACCCGAGCTAGGCAGCCTGCTCCACCGGTGCCACGCGCGGAAGCCAGCCGCCCACACGCGGAGACGCGCTCTCGGAGGCAGTTTGTCCGTAAGGACAGGGCTGGCGCGCAGGCCGGCAGCTGCCCTGAGCGCTGGGTTAATCCCTTACAGACATTATCCTTGCGGTCATTGTCGCTAAGCTGCTTAAAATATTTGCCTTTGCTCCTTTTCCAAGCATTATTTTTCTTCCTCTTTGGCTTCTCTCTGTGATCCTACTTCAGCGTGTGCTGTTACAGAGCTTGGTCGGTTTCTTTTTCCACCTGTTGGTGAGGCTGGGGCTCATGGGCATTAGTACCTGTAGGGCGAGACGCTGGGAGACTTAGCAGAGCGCAGGAAGGAGGGATCGCTACCTAGAGCCGGTGGGGGAGCCTGGGCGCTAGGAAACAGCCCTTTGCAATTAAATACAAGCGTTACAGAAGTAGGCTAAATCAGGCGTGAGAGCGATCTGGCGTGGTCCTATAGGTTGTTCTGGGAATGGGGTGTGTAAACTGAGGCGTTTAATTGGTGTCATTGATGATTAAGAGCTCAGGCTCTGGAGTCAGAAAGACTTCAGATTAAATCCTGGAGGAGCAACTCATGTGTAAATGGGAGAGTTCATCCTGCCACTCGGAATCGCAGCTTTCCTTTTGATGAGGCGAAATTTAAACAGAGCCCTCTCGGATAGTCTGGGAAATTACAACGTCAGTTCCGAGAGCACGAAAACCACTTCAAAAGGCTAGCTTGTGATTAGATACACTAAGATAGGAAAGGAAGAGTAAACATTTAGAAAACGTGCCCACCTAGAAGGCCATGATAGAAAACCGGTGTGTTTCATTAAAACTATTTGTAACAGTTGCCACCGAGGAAGCCAACGATTGCAGGTCTTGCTTGGAATAGACCATGCTGGGATGTACAAAGGGATCCCATGCAGTTGTCAGGACTCGTGATGCCCAGTGGAGAACATCCCTGAAGGTATGGATCCAGTGTGCGACAGAGTCAGCAAGCTGAGGCCTCTGGTGAATGTGGATCCTTTCAACTGTGCTGAAGCTTGGGTCTCCTGGCACAGGCCAGAGGCGACCAGGGAAAATGAGGTAAAAGCAAGAAAGGAAAAAGCAATCCGTGGACATAGCCACTGTACCTTTAAAGCTGACTAATAATACAAATAAATTAAAATAGTAAGTGAACCCACACAAAAAGCTTTCTGCTTTGACTCTTGCCTCAGGGAAGTTCCTGTTCTGTGGTTCCGGTTGCCCAACCACAAGCTGAAAATGACTCCCAGCTTTCTGCCATCCTTAAAAGCTATAGAAAGTGAAACAGCTAAAGATACCAGATACCTAAGATGTTACCTCTGCCCTCCCACCACAGTACACCCCCTGCCCAGCTTCCTTAGGTCCCTTTGTTATTCTGCTTTTGTCTTTCAATTGTCTAAACCTGTCTCACCCAGGGGATAATACTGTTCCTTTCACCAATGAGCTTTTCTACAGAACCACAGCAGCACTTAGAATAGCAGCTGGACTCATATGTAGCTGATAAATTTTTAATGTACTGTCACTATATTGAAATTTTTAATTTAAATAAGATTTGAACCAAGTCTCACATTATAGGCATAGCTCAATGTCACAATCATGGCTTTTTTAAAAAAAAATAAAATCTCTTGAATTTATAACAAGCAGTCCGTTCTCTCTCTGGCCTTAATAATTTATAATTGTAGCAATATATTTAACCTCTCAAGAAGCAGCCCTATCATGAACGTCCAGAAGCATATGGACATCAAACAAGGCACTATTGGATAATCAATGGATCACAGAAGAAATCAGGAGAGAATTTTTTTAATAGTTCCTCCTAGAATCAAATGACAGTGAAAGTACAACATACCAAAACTTACAAGATGCAATGAAAGCAGTTCTAAGAGGAAAATAAATTCATAGCTGGAAAATGCACACATGGAAACAATAGAGTGGTCCCAAATTGCCCAAGGATGAATCAAAAGGTCTTAGAAGGATGAGATTTGCTCTTCCTTTTCTAGATGTTGGAGGTGTAACATCAGGGTGTTTATTTGTCCCTGTTCTGCTTTCCTAATGTGTGAGTTCACAGCTATAAATTTCCCTCTGAGAATTGCTTTCATCACATCCCATAAGTTATGGTAAGTTGTGCTTGAATTTTCATTGAATTGTAGATCTTGTTCAATTTCTTGTTTAATTTCATCTGTGACCCATTGGTTGCTGAGTAGAGTGTTGTTTAATTTCCATGTAATTCTGGGGTTTTTCTGGTTTCTTTTGTCGTCCATTTCCAGTTTCATTGCATTGTGGTCAGATAATACCCATGGGATAATTTCTGTTTTCTTGCATGTACTTAAGCATGACCTATGGACTCGTATGTGGTCTATTTTAGAAAATGACCCATGTGCAGCTGAAAAAGTGTGTTCAGCTGTAGGTGGGTAGAACACTAAGTCCATTTGTTCCAAGTTCTGGTTCAGTTCTGCTACTTCTTTGGAATATTTTGCTAAGTTTATGTACCTACAATATTTAAATGACAATGGAATACCCTTCTCTGAGAAAACTAAACAAAAAAAAGGGGACACAAATGAGCAACCATTTTGTATCTGTATATTCAAAATAGGATAGATATACAGCTACTTTCTCTTAATTCAATAAATAGAAAGATTTGTTCTAATGGTGTTTGTGGACAGGATAGCATGTCTGCATCTTGCACAATGAATAACCACTAAAAGAACAATATGCAATGTATTAATTATTGAAACTGCCCTACTAATCGGTTTTGAAACTGTCTCATTGCTACTTGTTTCTCAGTAAAATTATTAAAAAAGTAAATAAAATTAACTTTAAAAAAGCGGATGAGAACATCCAAATCTAAAACTAATAGGAAGAAATTGAAAAGATTAGAGGAGAAAGTAATGAAATTGAGACAAAAAAAGTACAACAGATCAATGAGTCAAGAGTTAGTTCTTTGGAAGGGTGGGAAGAAACAGGAGGAAGGGAAGAGAGGGGGAAGTGAAAAGGATCCAGCTGCTGTGGGTACCAATTCAGTGTGCAGAACGTATTTACTATGCAGAGCAAACATATTCTAATAAAAATTGTAGGCTGAAAGAAACAGCCGTGGTGTCAGTGTGATAATCAAAGGAGGATTTCCCACTTTCAGATACAATCGCTTTTGTGTCTTAGACAATGTATGCTTGGCTGCATGACCATCCAGTAACACTACCTGTGCTTTCATGTTTTAAAGGCAGTTGTGTTCTCTGCAGTTGCCACATGCTCCTTTGCTATCACTTCTCCACTCCCTGTTATTCAGAAAGACTGCAGTGCAGTTATCATAGCAGTGTCATGGTGCCTGGTAGGAGCTAGGAGAGTGACTCTTCTCTGCTCAGAGGGAATCCCAACAGGCCTCCTGGGATCATCGTCCACAGCCCGCCTGGCAGTGTAGGCAGCACAGCTCCCAGTGGAGAAGTCAAGCCTACTCTAATGAGACTATCCCTTAGATAAGTGCCCCAAAGCAGGCTCTGCTAGCAATGCCAACAGTGATGAAAGCAGCTGGTACCTAGCGTCCTTCAGATTGCTCTTCACTGGGCCAGTAAAAACAAAGATACAAAAACAGCCGGGACACAAACATTCAGATCTAGATCATTTCAGCAGTTAAACAAATGTGCTAGTCAAGGCATATTTTGTTCTGTTGTGCCAAAGGCAGATGTGTAGTATGTGCCAAAAGGAAATGTGTGCTCTTTGCTACATGGTACTGTATAAATACTATTCCTTTTATTGTTAGTACAAATAAATTCTGCTATTCTATTTACTCAGCCTTTATGGTCCATTGTATATTTTTCCTGTCACCTCCTTTTTATAGTGCCAGGTATGGAGATCAAATTGAGGGTCAACTCTTGTCCTAGCTCTGTCACTTGCTAGCTTCATGTTTTTCTTCATGTTTGGCTTTCTCTTCATAAGGCAGTGACCCTCAAAGAAAATACATTTTCCCATTCTCCACAAAGAAGACTTATTACAAAATATTTCTTTGGAAATCAACACCAGCATTAATTCTCTTAATAATTCTGTATAGAAAGTCACCTCAAATATGTAAATATGTATTTAACAAGGGCTGATTCATTTCAAATGCTCCCACAGAGTGAGTTACCCAAAGTTAGCCTCTTAGACTGGAAGAGCACTGTTAGGGTCAAGATGAACATCTTATAGTGGTTGCTTTAAAATGTTAAAACTATTAAAAATATGATAAATTGTCCTAAAAAACTTAGCTCCTCTTTCATCAGAAGCAAATTTACTGTTTCAGGCCAAGATTAGCCTTCCCCAGCAGGACTCCCTCAGTACTGATATTTTTATGCCAGATGACTAGAATTTTCTCCAGTCAGCTAATCACTTATATCCTCCCCGAGGCCATGAGGCAGTTTCATATTATAGGACGCAGAATTACTGAGGCCACGATTGCTCTGTAGCGAGTGGTGCTCTGTTACATTGGTGATAGTAACAGTCAAGAACATGGGAAGCATCAACTTCCAGAGATCTTTTGTGGAATTTGCATGAGAACTCTTGG